TATGGTGTCCAACTAAATCAGCAGTATTATATACATACTCCTTCTGTCCCTTATTATAAGATCTAATTTTTTAAATGGGCTTGTCTCTTTTTTATAAGATCCTCTTTGAGTTTGTCTGAGTATTTAATGCAGTATTACTTATTTTACCTCTAATTTAATACTACCTCCGGTCCTAATTATAAGACCCAGTTGACTTATTTGAGGAAATTAAGGAAGTAAGTTAAGTTAGTTATTTGTAATAAATAAGTATTGTCATTCCTAAAATATCCTTGCTAATTAAGTGTATTGGCTAGAACTATCATTATTAGAAGGACTATCTTGGAAAAAAATGTATAAATATGAGAGACAAAATGGATTGGGGTCTTATAATTAGGACCAAACAAAAAGTCAAACGGGGTCTTATATTAAGGACCGGAGGTAGTATATTCTCTTTCTTCATTTATCTCACTATTATTCTCTCACATTTATTTATTTATATATAGGGTTATAATTGGAAAAAACTGCATTTGCTATATATTACTTGCTTTTAACTAATTTTAACTGTTTTCTTAAACCGCGTAATTTAGTTAAAAGGATTTTATAATAAGGGACGGACTAGTATACATATATTTATGAAGTTGAAGGTGACAAACAAGGCAAGGTGTTTTCCTTTTTAAAGCTCCTCAAACTAAGTAGCAACTTTAGATAGATTTGGTGGTTGATTCTAATTTCTAAGGGGTGATGGCTGCTTTCCTTTAGGTCACATTATATTAGACTTCTGCTTAATCAATGTACATTGACTTTCTTAAATTATTTTTATTTAATCATAGATATTGAAACTATTTCTAGATGGAAATGCCTTTTAATTTTAAATTTGGAAAACAAAGTAGATTGAAGTCTTATACTACCTTCGGCCCTTAATATAAGATCCTGCTTGACTTTTATTTTGATCCTAAATATAAGACCCCAATCTATTTTTTCTCTCATATTTATGTGTTTTTTTCCAAAGTAGTCCTTCTAATAATTGTAGTTCTAACCAATATAGTTGATTAGTAAAGATATTTTAGGAAAAACAACACCTATTTATTACAAATAACTAACTTAACTTCTTTTCTAATTTCCTCAAATTAGTCAACTGGGTCTTATAATTAGAACCAGAAGTAGTATTAAAGATTAAATCTATCATCTCAATTAACTTATATACTAAAACTGGAGATAGTACTTCGAGTGATATACATGTGCGCGCGCGCGCACGTTGCTTGTACAAAACGATGCTTTTGTATATTAACTTGGGCAGCCATTTGACATAAAAGAAGCTCTGACCCTGCGTGTATATATAAAAAGTATGCATTCTTCAGTATGACTTGTATCTATTTTATTGTAAACTAAGAAATTTTATTTTTTGGTGAAAGAGGCCTCGTAACTTCTACCTGTGGCTGTTTTAGGATATGGATTTGCGTTGAGCCTTCGTTTCTTTTTTATTTTTTGATACAAATTGTTGAGCATTTGTTAGTTACAAAGGAAACAAAGAAAAAGGAGCCGTTTATGTCAACGGACCTGATTGGTTTCTTATTTTCAAAACAATTTTTGGTTTTCAAAAACAGAAAATAAAAATATGTATTTGAAAGTGTGTTTTTGGTTACATATTCTTAAAAAATAAAAAGTTAAATTTTTTTAAAATTTAAAAAATCAGAATTCTTTTATTTTTTTACTTTTATTTATTGAAATTAGAAAAGAAAACATGTTAAACACTAAATATAGACACATTTTTTTAAAGAATTTTAAATAGTGATTTATCATGTTGTGGCATGCTAGCTTTCAATTCAAACCTTGTTGGGTCAATTATTATGTTCTTTTTTTTTTTTTTGCTGACAACTATTATGTTCTCATCTCAACTATATTATATTCAATTTGAATGAGTATAATTTTCAATTGAACATTTGTGAAAAATGTTATTAACATATTAAAAAATAAAAATTAATTTAAAAAATTAATTGATTAAAATTTTATGGGGTTAATATAATTTTTGGTCCCTTAAGTTTGTCTTCATTTTAGTTTTAATCCTTTAAATTTCAACTAATAGGTTTTGGTCCCTCAAGGGACAAATGGTCTAAGTTTTTATTAGATTATTGAAACTAATGTTTTAAATAAAAGGAAACTTGAGAGACCAAAACTTGATATTTGAAACTTGAGGGACCAAAACTAAAATGAAAATAAATTTAAAGGACCAAAGTTTGTATTAACTCAAATTTTATTTAAACAGTTTACAATTATACTAGAAAGACAACTATTAAAATATAATTTTTTATTGCAGTTTGAAATTATTCCTATCAAATTTTAATAGATTAAATTTACTTATTTATTTTTCAATATATAATACTAGTAGTTCCATAATAAATTTAAATGTACATATATATATATATATATTAAGTATGAATTATTCAAATATGAAATAAACCCCATATATACAGCCACACTAGTTCACCGTCCCCGTGATTAGTGCATGAAAGAAGCAATTCGTAATAATTAAACTGAAAGTGCCAGGGAGGATGAGGCTGTCCTCTCAGTAACAGATATGTGTTTTTGGAATTGGAAAAGCCCTTCACATTCATAATTATTAATAATAACGTTTATATATTTTTTTGCTAAAATATATGTTTAGTCTTTTAATTTTATATATATTTTTAATTTGGTCTCTTAACTTTAAAATATATTTTTTGATTTTATATATTGACAAAATATCCTCAAATCTCAACACATTAAGTCTAATTTTGATTGTTATAAAAAAATCATTTTTTAAACCTAATAATTTTAGTATTAAATTATTAAAAATATATTTTTTTAAAGTTAAAAAACTAAATTGAAACATTGTATAAAGATGAAAGACTAAATGTATATTTTAGTTTTTTATCTTTTTTTTTATTAGTTATCACTTTTACGATTATATATATTATCATATTTTTTTAAATAGCAAAAGATGTGAATGGTCATATTATAATTTTTTCTGGAGAACAAAAAAAAGCAAAAAAAAAAAAGCATTCTAATTTAAGAATGTTTGATTTTTACGTTGTTATCCGGATCATCCATCCCCCCCCCCCTTTTTGTTGCCAAAAGTCCATTCATCCGTTAAAACTATTATGGCATGAAATATCAAACATATTTACACATGTACGTCCAATGCATGTAGGGGTGTGTATATGCTACTTAATCTAAAACTTATTTAATTAATTTCATTATACTAATAAAGTTAGGTGAGTTAGTTAATTATAAAAAAAGTGACATATTTTTCTTAAAACACCATAATCATCTTTCTTAATATCCTCTATTATTCTCCTACTTGATTATGTTTAATAAAGTATTAATGAAGTAATTTAAGAAAAACTAATAAATATAAAAAATATGTCTTATATTTAAGATCAAGACTAACTCAATAATTAGGTTTTACATTAAGCAATCTAGGAGTATTATATAAATATTATAACTTCGAAGATAAATATAATATTTATTGCCCGAAGGGAGCAAGGTCCATGCAAGTATTTGTTATGGAATAAGAATTGATGCGTTTCACTGCACTAAACATTCCACGTCGCATCCATGCATGCTCTCTCTTTCCCCTTGCTCCCCCTCTCTCTACATACACACACCCCATTTATATTATAAAGTACTTCCTCCTATTTTAAATGCATGAGTTAAATAATTTTTGTAAATTATTTAAGTTAGTGGTTTATAAAAACGTGGGTTGATTAATTGATTTTCCTAAAACACATAATATGTGAATATTAAGAAAATTTGTCAATTAAGTTAATTATTTATAAAAAAACGTGTGTTGGGTTTTTCAAATTACCATTTTTAATCACATGTATTAGGATTATTTCTTGATAAAAATCTCTTAACATGTACAGATCAATAGAAATATCTTGAGAAAAAAATTATAAATTTGGTAATAAAGTGGGCTAAGGTTTTATATATAAATATATATATTTAGGATTAAATCTAAATTAGCTATATATTCAGCACCGGAAATAGTGTGACTTATTTTATGGATTATATATATAAGTTATTTTTATTGTTATTGCTAAACGTGGTAAACCATTTTTTTCATATAGTGGCAATGCAATACATAATCCTCGAAATTAAAAGAAAGATTGTGGGAAAGCCACCATAATAATATTTATGGTCTATAAGTATCTTAAATTTATTAAACGATTAAGACCTTAAATTGGCACTCTCTGGTCCTATTTATAAGTCACATCTGGCATATTTCACACAAATGAAGAAAAATCTTAAACCTTATTAACTCTTATTTAAAATTTAATAACTTTCTAATTTTATTTCTATTTAATATACACTATACCTTGTCTAAACAAAGTCAACACAATAATAAATGAAGGATAAAATTGTACATCCATACAAAAAATTTCTCTTAATACCCTATAAATAGGATCGAAAAATATCTTTTCTTTGTCCTATTATCAGAGGAGTACAACTCTTCTTTAATTGCATATGCAATGAATCTTCAACCTAAATGATCTAGGTCCTTAAAGTTAAAGGTGTCTTTAGGTAATAAATATTTCAAATATAAGAAAATTTGCAACAATTTTTCCTAAATTAAGTAATATTAATAACTCATTTACTCCATAAACAATTAATAATCCAACCAAACTTGGTAATTATTAATATTCATAAATAGCTTTTATTCATATTCATGGTTTCGGTCTTTACTTTCATTCGCCGTTTTTAATTTCGAACCTGCCTTAGGAAAGCTGTCGTAATGATAATAATTAAGTGTACGACAAATATCCTTCACACCATTCCTCAAAGGAACCATCTTTATTTCTTCTTTCTTCTTTTTCATTTTGCCAATATACGTTATGCACTTCTAACAACATATTATTACACCGTCTTCCTCCCTCTTACATCACAATTTTTCTCATATCTCTTTATCTCTCTTCAACTCTCATCACTTTTACATTCTCTATCTCTCTTCTGTGTCTCTGCTGATCTGTTGGCATACACTGAAAATGGCGAATCTGACAACCAGCTCACAAATTTGCATCAGAATCGTCATAGCTTTTCTCCAGTTCCTTTCAACTGGTTTGTGTGCGATTGATACTGATGTGGTTTCTCTGCAGAAATATCTAATTGCTGGCTTTGTTGGGTTATTGTTTTATGGAGAAGCTGAGTTTTCAAAACCCTAACTCGCTCAGATGTAACCTGAGATTCAGACTCTTATGAGACCACTGAATCTCACGTAATAAATATCTATCAGAGACACCCCTCTATCTACTGGAGAGAGGCCGCTATACACACACAAATATAAATATGTACATCACAGAAAGAATGAGATTTGCAGCCTTCAATTTGATGGTAACTTGTTGAATGAGTTTGAGAGAAGTACGAAGGTCACAATCTCAAGAATCCTGCAAGGGATATCTTATCGTCTGTTGAAAGTTCAATTTATGGGATTTAATTTCATGTTTTTCCTGCTAGTTTAATTTTATTGAAAGCTCAAACTTCAAAGAGGTTATCATGCATGATGTGATAACTAAGATTCATCTCTTGGGATTTACTTTTCAATATTATATACTTAACTGATATCGAAAAAAGGGCAAAACTTTGAGATGCGTCTTGCTGGCCTGGAGACCTCTAGCTAATTAGTGAACAAACCCTGGGAATTCTTTTCTTAAGTTCAATTTACGCCCATACCCATTTGTTAGATTATATGAGTGAGAATCTGGGTTGGAAATCTCAAAATTCATCATATATAATTTCTGCTTGCATTACTTGACGACACATAATTTATTTGCTGTTTTCTTAGTTGGATGAAGTTTTCGCTCTTGTAATTGGCAGTTCAAGCTGGTAACAAAGAAGAGAAAGAGCGAATTAAAAGTGTGGCCAAAATTCTGAAAGAGATTTTCAAGATTAGCCAAGAAATGGTGGAAGATGATCAGAAACTTAGGAGGCCTGGTGGGATTCTCGTAACTTTGTTTAGCACGCCTCAAGATGATAATACTGAAGAACTTGAGGAGTCTGAGAATGAACCTTGTAGCTCCACTGCACCAACTACTAAACGAACCTCTTCTTCAAAAGGTGCGTGTCTATATTCATATATATGTGTGTGTGTGTGTGTAGAGAGGTAGAGAGAGAGAGAGAGAGAGAGAGAGAGCCCTGTTCGTATCCGTAATTTTCTCACTTCTCTTACACCAGTACCAGATCATCAGAAAAATTCAGTTAGTTCCCATATGGTTATTGATTTAGACTCGATATATCAAAGCTAGCTAGCTTGTACACTTAAGTACCATATCCACCTTCATTATTATTGAATATTATTATTGCACGAGCTGTTTTAATTAGTAAGTGTATGTATTGTATGTTTTGCCAGGAGGCGTAATGGTGGCGGGTAGGAACATGGCAAACTTACAGAAAGATTTCAAACAAGCAGTATTAAAGAATGGAGGTCTCGAATATCTGGTTGGTCACAACAACCCCAAAAAGAGAATCCATGGCATTATTGGGAAAATTTTCAACGAAGCTCTCGGGGTAACATTTATTGATGCGTGTGTTCAATTACATTTTAAGAAAAACCTTAAACTCGTAAACCTTAAACTAACCTTGTATGTACAGGTGATTCGACAAGAAAAACCTTTCAGATTTAACATGAAGGACGTGGCTGAGACGCTCAAAACACTGGGTGCGTTATCTGATACACATTATACTTTTTCTTATAGCCCAAACAAAACTTAAAGGATAATGATCAACTTCTTCTTGTTACAGACATTCTTAAGTACTGCTAAATCCAAAACCAAACATGATTAGAGATCTGGCTTACAAGTTTCCTGTCCCCTTGTTATTATGTATCATTATTACATCACAATCCCTCTCGTTGATGATCTTCTTTGGCTCCAATCAAATTCTTCGAAATTCTGCAGGGAACAAGGCCATGGAAACCAATTGTTACACCAAAGCTGCTGAATTTTACAGTTGTGCTATTGCAATTAACGTGGACAATGCTGTCTACTATTGCAATAGGTATATACACATCACACACACAAGTTCTTCGATATGTACAGTTAATTTAATCCTCGATTATATTCATGTTTTGATTGTACAGAGGGGCGGCATTGATTAAAATGGGGAGGTTTCATGAAGCCGTTCGTGACTGCTGTAAAGCAATTATCCTGAACCCTACCTACATAAAAGCTTACTATCGCTTAGGTTTAGCTTACAGTGAACAAGGAAAATTCTTTGATGCTATATGCGATGGTTTCTTAAGAGGTATGTATATATATTCTTGCTTTTAACTCTATTATACGTAAGTGCATATATATATATATAGAGAGAGAGAGAGAGCTATATATATATATTTGGAAACCAGATAGATCTCTCGAAGTTTATTTACAGCATCTGAAGTTTAGAAATTAAGTAGAAAATCTGTTTGGAGCTCACAGAGACAACTTCAAATACGAGAAATAACTATGCCATTAAGTCCACCCATTATTAATCTCTTGCTTTATATAATGTGACTCGTGGTCTTCTTATTTTGTCAAACAATCTAGTTTTGCAGCTAGAGGCCATGAATAAAGCTGCCTTGGCCCAAATTGAGGTACGTACTCTCGTAAATATAGTAATTCATATCAACATAATATATATGTCCCAAAGATTAATTCATTAATATCAACTATAAACATATCTCTTAATGTCCTTGTTTTCTCCCATAAATTATGCAGCTAGCAGAAGGCAGACTGAGTGAACAACTTTCTTGGTTGGACGATAAGGTAACTAATAACAGCAAAACAACATATTTATTTACAAACTTATACTCCTCCGGTCCTTATTATAAGACCCAATTTGACTTTTTATTTGGTCCTAATTATAAGACCCAATCCATTTTGTTTCTTATATTTATGCATTTTTTTCCAAGATAATCCTTCTAATAATGATAGTTTTAGCCAATATACTTAATTAGCAAGGATATTTTAGGAATGACAACACTTATTTATTATAAATAACCAACTTAACTTACTTTCTTAATCTCCTCAAATAAGTCAATTGGGTCTTATAATTAGGACCAGAGGAGTATTACTTTTTTGAATATATATGTACGAACAATAACAACATTAATTATATATATATTGATGGAGCAGCTTGAAGATCTGAGGAAAAGTGGTATGATTAGCCGATGCCGGAAAGTAGGAATCAAGGAAGGGACAACAATAGTGTATAAAGGGAAAGCAGAAGATGGTGATTCTGAGAAATTTGTGTTGCTTGAAGACGAGGTCGATACTTCCAACATTAACATTGAAGAAGAGACCATGAGTATTGCAGAATTTATCGACCTCTTCTCTAATTCCAACATGGCTCCTTAAATTATAATAAGTCAACCACCCCAAGTTTTAATATTCGTCAATTATGAAACAAAACAAGTGAGCCTCTATCTGTCTGTGTACATATATATATATATATATATATATGCTTCTTCTAGCTAGCTAGATGAAACCCTAGTGTATTTGGTATGTTATTGTAAAGCTGAGACCATGAGCTAGCTCACTTTGCTTGATCAGTAGTAGTCTGCAAAATTCTGTCATCTTTTAAAGTAAGAAATTTAAATTATCTTCGTGCTGTCAAATCTAATTAAATTCTTCTACTATTTCTTGATCTTATGGGTTAACAGGGATGTTTGATGTGTAAGAACTATATCACACATGTTAACTTTTCTCATTCGTAACTTGTTGTGGCAGTTTTCAGACGGCAAATTAATTAATGGCGAAAACATGTATTACTTCTAGTAAAACTAAGCCGGGTTTGGATAATTTGTATTCAGTATAACTTAATTAAATTTAGGAAGAAATAAAGAAAGTATATGTAGGTACATGAATAAAAAGATAAAACTGAGAAGAATCTGCATTATACGTGCACATCGAGCTTAAGAAGATTTTTAAGAAATAATCACTCTTCACAATGTGTTTTTTTCCCAATTTAAAGCTAATAAATACGCTAATTAACTAACTCGCGGTGCACGCACACTTGAGTTAATTTTTGTGTGGATTTTGCCATATATACCCTTTGTATCCTAAAAAGAAAAAAGAAAAGAAAAGAAAAGAATAATCGTTGCTGAACAACATAGAATCTACGGAAAACATTCAAAAAGCACTATATTCAAGTGCTACAGGGGATTATCAGACAAGAAAAACGACCTTTTAGGTTTAACATGAAGGACCTCCCAACACTGGGTGCGTAGTATAACCTCACACACGCTTTTCTTATAAAGTACTGCAAAATCCAATACGGATTTAAACTATACAACGGACATGATTAATTATTAATTAATTAATTGGATCCGTCATTAAGTCTACTAGAAATAACTATGCCATTAACTACATTATTAATCTCTCACTTTTTATCTGACTCTTGGTCTTTTATTTTGCCAAACAATGTCATTAAATGAATAATGTTTGTTTCGTGGAACGTAACATTATTATATACCCCTCTGGTCCTATTTATAGGGTAGAAAGAAGACATTTTTTGATTCTATTTATAAGGCACTAAGAGAAATTTTTTGCATAAATGTATAATTTTATCCTTCATTTATTATTATGTTGACTTTGTTTGCATGAAATATAATACTGTATATATTAACCAGGGATAAAGTTGGAAAGATGTTCAATTTTAAATAAGAGCTAATAAAGTTTAAGATTTTCTTTAGTTTGTATCAAAACATGCTGGAAACGACTTATAAATAGGACCAGAGAAATACTATTTTTGGTCCTTCACATAAAAGCCAATTGATTAATTTTGAGAGATTAAGAAACTTAAATACATTATTTTAAAGTATTACATTTATCATTTTTTTCTACACTAATTGATGTGGCTTATAAACTGATACATAATCTAATAACACACATAAATATTTTAGAGAGATTATATAATATATGTTATAATTAAATAATTTTTTAATTTATTTAAATTAGTCAATTGGGTCTTATATTAAAGACCGAGATAATATATTGATGAAGCAGCTTGAGGAAAAATGGTATGATTAGTGGATGTCTGGAAGCAGGAATCAAGGAAGGCAGGAATTTGAGTTGGTTGATCATGAAGAGGTCGATCCTTCCAAGGTTGAAGAAAGTTGGGTTGAAATAGCTCCCCAAGCGAACCCAAGTTTTTTGTCAACGAATAACAAGTGAGGCTTTGTGCATATTGTAAAGCTGAGACTGGTCCCACCTTCTTTAAGGGGATTTTTTGATTCTAAATATAACATCTAGTTTGTAGTGCCATTTGTATTATAAACTAGATCTTATATTTAAGAGCGAAGGTAGTAAATAATTAACTCTTAGTGCAGACACTTGTATTAATTTCTGTGCAAAAACTTTAGCAGAGTAAGCTCCAAACACGCACACACAACACACATCACAAAACACAATATAAAAGGGTCCTTATAAGGATAACTGCCATAAAAATTAACAACTGGACAGATCAGAAACTAACTACAAGAGAAGTTATTCTACATCCACGTTAACATCAAGTGTTGCTACTGTGCTGTGATGCTACAGTAAAGGCCTTTCACTGTTCAGGAAATTATGCACCTCTGTTCTAGCTCTGGCCATAGGAGTTTCCTTCATTTACCTTTCCCCAAGGGAGTCAATTTGAAAGTCATTCTGCCAGTAGCCTCTCCCACCCTAGCTAGCTAGAAGATAAAATCCTGTAAAGGCATCAAATGATTCAAAGCATGATTGATTCTTCCAATAAAATGGAAAAGATGTGTATGAGTGTAAAGTGAACCTGCGGCCCAGCAGAGCCAGTATGTTGAATGTGTGTACTTTAGAGGCACCAAAATACCAATGAGAGCAATGGCAATACATGGCACAAATTGGACCAGACCATAAAGACGAAGGTCCTGATATAACCTGCATTAAGAAAAGAGGTGGAGGACAATAAAAAGAAATTATTTGCAAGTGGTAAATCTCAAAATCATGCATGGTCAAGCACTTGAAAATGCAATGTTTGACCTTAAATGGAAATCGTTTAAAGGACTAGTTGCAACATTAAAATTACTAGTTTACTAACTTTTGGCATTGTTCAAACGTCAAACCACTCCTCGATTTTATAACTAAATGAATGTTCCGCATAAAAAAAAAAAAAATCTACAGAAACAGCAAATAGTTTTATATGGCAGAACAACAACTAGCTTCACTTATAGAAGGAATTTATCGAATAATGCTACAGTGAATTGCCGACCACTGTTACTGGATTAGCAAAAGAACCAGCGCAGATATAAAAGAAAAGGAAGAAAGAAGCTTGCCTCCAATACACAACGCTGAATATGCCCGCCACATTCAAAGGTATGATTGACATTGTTCCCTTCTTCTCATCAATCCTTTCAATGATGAATATTGCTAGGACTGATACAGCGCCAACAGTCATCTGCAAAGGTAGAAAGCTAAGGGGTAAAAGGTGAAAAATTCAAATAGGAAAAAGGGATAAAGGGAATGGACTTCTATAATGATTAATTCAACAATTTTATTTGAAAAAGAAAAGGGAAAAAAAACTCACCGGCAATCTATCCCACACAAGGCAATCGTCATTTGGCTTGAGATGATAGTATGAAGAACCAAATGCAACAGCAGTCATGCCAATATAGAATGACGTCCAACCCCATCTTTCACCTTGTGAGCTTTTGGCAAGTACGTATTATGATTCACAAGTCGCAACAATAATATGCAAAAGCATATAGTCTATAAAAGAAATTAGCAGTGACAAAGTAACAATTCCTTCAATTTCAAATTTTACAGCAAACAAGGCGGAGTAAAAACGAACACTCTAGCAATTTGATTGCTGTAAGTCCTATTATATAACTCTAATATCAGTGAAGTAACTGATCCACTTCATCTTATATTAACTGGAAGTGGGCCCCTCAGGACAATTGCAAGGAAGAATCAAAATCAAGCCACCACACAAGTTGAATTTGGCAAGTGATTAGGACGTTGAAAGAAGTGTCATGTATGCTATTTTCAAGTTTTTTTTTTTTTTTAAATACACTCAGTTCACATAAAGCAATTTACACAAACATTTAAAAAACACGTCTGCTTCCGCCAAATTCACTTCTTTTTTTTTTTTTTAATTAGCCCACTATAGTTCTGTTGTCAAGTGATAGGATATTAAAAGAAGTGACATGTTCGTTATTTTCAGGTTTGTAAAAACAAAGACAAAAAATTTTCCCCTCAGCCCACGTAATGCACATTATCATCAACAAAACATACACGGACTTCACCAGTTCACATAATATCACATGTGTGAATCAATCCATTTAGCAAACACGAAGGGTAACATATAGATCAGTGATAGTCCAATGAACAATTGCTCCTATGAGGATGATGAATATTTAAAGTTTGGCTCAATCAGAGAAACGCTAACCGAAGAATTGGCGTCTGTCAGCGAAATCATGGTAGCTTTGAGGCTGAGGAATTCTTGGGGTCACCATCATCAGTCCTAGGAATAAGCAAGCAACTCCAACGACCCATCCGTACACAACGTGACTTTCCATATTTCACGAACAGGCGATCTGGAACTAGAGAGAAAGATCGGAAAAGAAGTGAAAGTGACGAGAAGGGCGGTGGTGGCCCCCTGCTTATACCCATCTCAAAGCGGTGCGGCGGCGCGCCTTTGTCCGTTGTCGACCGAACGTAAGCGGGAGGAGAGGAGAGGATGGAGCAATCCCAGGCTCATCAACAATAACAATAGTCGTTTGGCTCTTCACCTAAGTAGCCTCCTTCTTCTACTTCTTCTATGTTAGCATTGTCCTCGAAGGACGCGACAAATCCGGCTCTGGTGATATAACCACTACGCCGAAGAGGTGGCTGACACGGAACAGAGTCACGGTGATGGGATGATAACAACGCAAGAGGAGCATGAGGATGAGATGAGGAGGAGAATGTTGAATATCGAGCCTCTCCGTGATGCTTACGTAGTTTGCTCCGTTGACGTGCTTTCGTCACTAACGCAGTGCTATGCAAATGCTATGTATTCTTTGGAATTTTATTTTTTATTTTTTTATCAACTTTGGATTTTTATTACTTCTCAGGTCCTTAATATTAGACCCATTTAACTAATTTGATTAGATTAAGAAAGTTAGGTAAGTTAGTTAATTATAAGAAATATGACATGTTTTTTTCTAAAACACCATAATTATCTTTCTTAATACCTCATCTCCCTCTTGTACTTGATTATGGTTGAGGAAGTATCTATAGGGGTAATTTAGAAAAAATTGATAAATATGAGAAATGGGTCTTATATTTATGATTAAAACTAACTTAATAATTAGATCATATATTAAAAACCGGAAGAGTATAATGGAATGATCTTGGCACGATTTGACTTAAAAACTAAGTTATGCGATAAGATTAAGAAGAGTATTGTTAAAATCATTTTTAAATAATTAACAGTTTTAGATTCTTTATTTTGATTGATGATCGACGCGGACATTAAAAGAAAAGATTTTTTTTACGTTAATTTATTTTTAAACTTTTGTGGATAACTTTTCGTGAAAAAGATTCTAGCTTTTGAAATTATTTTTCTAATATTTCTTGCCTCAAGTTTTCTTCCTTTGTTTTTGCTCTTACATTTGAGGAAAAAATTCCTGAAAGGTTATGAATGTCCACATGTAAAACCATTGGTATGGTTCCCTGTAATCCATACACCAAAAACTATACAGGACGGCCAAAAAATAAAGAAAGAAAGAAAACAAAGAACCATATCCTGTCCTGTCCTTGTCTCGAACAACCCTCTTAAAAACAGACTTTTGCTACTTACATCAGTTTGGGAGAAATTTTTGAGTAATAGATTAAAGTGTTTTAAGAGATGTCTCTTCCTTAGATTAATTAAAGACGCTCGTTTTAGGATTTGGAAATGATCATCTTTTAAATCTTCTTGCATCTTGTAGACCGGACTGGTCATCATCGATGGTTGGTTGAGACTTTTGTCTCGTTTAAGGATCTATGTTTTACTCTTCATTCCATTCAAAAGCAACTCATTAGAAAACCTGAGGTGCCATTTATTGCTTCTATTCCACAGCAAATCCTGATCTCTTGGTTGTTGTAACCTGAAGCTATGTCATTTCTGTAAACGCATGCTCACTATTTTAAGATACTTGGTTTTATTTGGCATGAAGGCTCAATATCTGTACCCTGAACTGGATGGTTTGGCTTATCTATTTAAGTTCCGTATGTACTAATAGCTACCTAACCTAGTAAGCAATTATTTGTCTTCTGATATCTCTTTTTCTTAATTTTTTTTTTCAATACATTATTGGATATTTGATACTTTTGATTGATCCGAATTTAAACCAAACCAAACCCTTTTTTTTTTTACCAGAAAAACCAAACCCAATTAAAATAAAGTTTTTTGACAAAAATTTTCCACCTACAGAATTCAATATCAAGACTTCAAATTCTCTATTGCTTAACCCTATATTTGGTTTGAGGGAATTAAAAGGGAACGGATGGGAAGGAAAAAAAAATTCAATGATCTTGATTCAAGAAATTGGAGAGGTTAGATTATTAAATTTTGATAAACAGAAGAATGTAAGATAAAAGAGAAAAACTAATTAAAAACTTTTAATCCCAGTTCTTTAATTTTTCAAATCAAGCTCATTAAAATTTTTCTTTTCCTCCCATTCCCACCATTTCCCTCATACCAAACAGAGAGTAAATCAAAGTATATTGTTAATTGTATTGTTTTTTGCTTTATTATATGTCCATTTACAAATAAGCATCTAAAATTTCTTACAATTGTGTATACTAATATAGATGTTTTGGGTATCCCAAGTTCGTAATGCAATAACATATTCTTAGATATCCTTAAACTTCTTAACCTCTGCTAGAACGAAACAATACTCCAAAATGACACCACCGTTTTGACTTGATCGACGCTCATGTTCAATTTTCTCAAAACCAACCAGGCTCCAATTCCATTGGAGAACTTGCAAGTTGTAAATATTTTAATTTCATTTCAAAATTCAACAGCACAAAGCTAGAGAACTTCACTTGAATCCTCTCCAGTCCAACAAAATTCATCCATATTTGAGGATGAATCTTCGCTTCCAGGCCTATCGACCTGCATGGATTCCTTAAAAAATAAGGCAAACATTACAAATCACGTTTGTTGACATATGAAGCAAGCCAGTTATATTCTTTTCTTTTTCAGATGAATCTTTACATTAAGTGCAAGTTCTTTTTATCTTTTTTGGAGCCATGTACAAGTATATTCTGCATTATTTGAGTTTAAGTGCCCTTAAGATGCACATCATATAAATATATGGGCTCACTGTGAAGTAGGAAAGTTAAATGCGTTGCAGCCAACTCCATATTTGTATTTGACAATATAAGCTCAATAAGCTATTATGCATCCTATATTACTTTCAAATTTCCACACACATTTCAAAACAAATAAAATGTAGGGCATAAAATTATTTATATCATACCTCTTGTTTCTCTCTAGCGTGTCCATCATCGCCAAATTGCCCTTGGAAATTCGGGCATTCTCTTGCCTTTCCCTTCCCCAGCGCTTTAGGACACAAATAGCACATAAACAATCGTGTGTGTGGCATCTTCTGTAAGTAAATAATTATTGTTAACCAAGGGTATGTATTTAAAAATGTCATCATCAATGCATTCCAGGGGAAGGAAAAAAAAAAGGGAAAAAATGCGGGGAGAAGAAGAAAAATAATTATTAAAAGGTCTCAATAATAAGTGAGCAGCTAAAACTTCTTGTTATTTTTTACTCTGGAAGTTATCATCATGGGACTTTTTTGTGGATATGTTCTATTTATGAGACCTTATTGTGATTCTCCCAAAAATATAGGATACAATACAATATAACTGCAAGGTAACCACAGTGAAAACCTCAAGTTAATCCTAGATTATTCTCAAGTAATTAATTCTTGTTTCATTGTACAGAGGGCGGCATTGATCGAGACGAGGATGTTTCATTTCATGGAGCTATTGACGACTGTTGCAAAGCAATTAGCCTGGACTCTAAGCTACATAGAAGCCTATACTATCGCTTAGATATAGCGTACAGTGAACAAGGAAAATACTTTGATGCCATATGTGATGGTCTCTTAAGAGGTCTATAATATATATTCTTGCTCTTAATTTCACTTGCTTTTAACTATCTACGTATGAGATACACATAATTGGAAACCAGCTATCTTTTCCAAGTTTACTGCATCTCAAGATTAGAAATTAATTAGAAGATCTGTTTCGTTCGACAACCTCAAGTATATACGAGAAATAACTATGCCATTAACTACATTAATCTCTTGCTTTAAATTTGACTCTTGTGGTCTTCTATTTTGTCAAACAATTCAGTTTTGGAGCTCGAACCAGGAAACAAAGCTGCCTTGGCCCAAATCGAGGTGCGTATAATTTACGTTTTCGTATATAGTAATTCATGATTGATTGATATCACCATATATCCCAACACTTCATTGACTTCCAGCTCTTTTGTTTTTCCATAAATTACATAGCGGGCAGAAGGCAGACTGAGAGGTCAAATTTTTTTTACGAACGAAAAGATGATAACTGTAAAACTAAAATAAGCTTAGTTCCTTCAATATAAATTAACAATGTTTGTTTTGTGGACGGTAACATTATTTTATATGTGTGTTGTGTGTGTGCATATATATATTGATGGAGCAGCTTGAAGATCTGAGGAAAACTGGCATGATCAGTCGATGCCCGAGAGCAGGAATCAGGGAAGGCAAAGAGGGCAAAGCAGAAGATGGTGATTCCGAGGAATTTAAGCTGGTTGATCATGAAGAGGTCGATCCTTCCAACGTTGAAGAAACTTGGGTTGACATAGCTACACAAGTCAACCCAAGATTGTTGTCAACGAATAACAAGTGAGCCTTTGTGTGTACATATGGCAACTAGCTAGCTAGCTGAAACCCCTGTCAACCTGTCATGTGTATTTGGTCATTGTAAAGCTGAGACTGAGCTCACTTTCTTTACGGGGATTCTTGGATTCTATTCTCTATTCTTATATTGCACGGGCCTGGACTTGTTTCCAGTAAAATTAAGACGGGTTGGAGAAGAAGATATTATGCATATATCTTGTTAAGATTCTAAGAAACAATCCCTCACCATGTTGGAGGAGGAGGAGGAGGAGGAGTCACTCACCATATGACACTCTATAGCAGAGTAAGCTGCAAAAAAAAAAAAAACACACACACACACACACACCACAAAACACAATATAAAAAGGTCCTTATAACCGCTATAAAAATTATGAACAACTGCATAGATCAGAAACTAACTATAAGAGAGGTTATTGCACATCAAAGATAACATCAAGTGTTGCCACTGTTTTGTGATACTACAGTAAACGCCTTTCACTGTTCAGGAAATTATGCACCTCTGTTATAGCTCTCACCATAGGAGTTTCCTTCACTTGCCTTTCCCCAATGAAGTCCTCCATGTTTATACAGACTTTTGGCTGCATGGAGACCATAGCAACCGCATCAGATCAAGATTATTGTAGTCATTGAAAAATAACAATGCAACAGAAAGATACTATAAATTATCCACTTAATGCTGCTTCCAAGAAAGTTAGCTGAGTTAGTAAACGGGATTGACATCACTCCTTATCAATGTATGCTTGATTTTTCTACAAGAGCACTAAAATCCTAATTGTACATTCTTGAGATTCATTTGTGGTCAGAGCCTATGTACACCCCTGGCTGTAATATTAAAATCAAACTGTAGGAAAAAATCTTGGATACTTCTGTTATGTAGAGGAGATAGGAGCTGTGTGGAAATGCCAAAGACTGTTTCTTAGGGAGTAGCAACGGTTCCCATTTGTCTTTCGATAAGCTGCATACATTTTTCCAAGGCAGCACGAGCGTTGTTCCAAGAGCGGGTAAGGACCATGAACTATTGGGAATTACAGTGGAAGGGCTGAGGATAGCCTGGTTTTAGATGCCACATATATGTAATGTGAAGAAGAAAGGGAATGAGAGGAGAGGAGAGGAGAGGAGAGAGATGGGAAACAGAGAAGGGTTTTGAGAGGAAGCAGAGACAGACAATCGAGAGAAAGTGAACATGCACTTCACTGATTACTAATGACTGATTTGCAAATGATTACGGGCTCTTAACGGCTAACTTCCTTTCTTATTCTTATTTATTTTCCATTTCAACTTCAAAGTATAAGGCTGCTTAATTTGCTGCTCAAGCTTGTGTGACATGAATAAAATGACTTTAAAGCTTGAAAGTTGAACCACGTGATATCTAACAAGTTTTTTACCTTTAATTTTTCCACCACAGCTATTCAGTTTGAGGCAATGTTCTTTCAAGCAAATAAAATCTCTAACGTAGTAGAAGTCCTTTCAGATTTTGCATGCATTAAAATACCTCTTGACGTCAATGTTCCTCTTTGCGAGCATGAGTGTCAAAACGAGAGGAACCATGAAAGCAGACAAATGCTTGATTGTGTGGCCGCTTACAGTATGAAAAGTCAATTTGAAAGTCACTCTGTCAGTAGCCTCCCCCACCCTAGCTAGAAGATAAAATCCTGCAAAGGCATCAAATGATTCAAAGCATGATGGATACTTCAAATAAAATGGAAAAGATGTGTATGAGTGTAAAGTGAACCTGCGGCCCAGAGCCAGTATGTTGAATGTGTGTACTTTGGAGGCACCAAAATGCCAATGAGAGCAATGGCAATACATGGCACAAATTGGACCAGACCATAAAGACGAAGGTCCTGATATAACCTGCATTAAGAAAAGAGTTGGAGGACAATAAAAAGAAATTATTCGCAAGTGGTAAATCTCAAAATCATGCATGGTCAAGCACTTGAAAATGCAATGTTTGACCTTAAATGGAAATCGTTTAAAGGACTAGTTGCAACATTAAAATTACAAGTTTAACTTTTGGCATTGTTCAAACTTCAAACCACTCCTGGATTTTATAACTCAGTGAATGCTTCCCATCTCTTTGACAACTAAATCTACAGAAACAGCAAATAATTTTATATGACAGAACAACGACTAGCTTCACTTATAGAAGGAATTTATCGAACAATGCTACAGTGAATTGCCAACCACTGTTACTGGTTAGCAAAAGAACCAGCGCAAAAATATACGAGAGAAAGAAGAAAGAAGCTTGCCTCCAATACACAACGCTGAATATGCCCGCCATATTCAAAGGTATGATTGACATTGTTCCCTTCTTCTCATCAATCCTTTCAATGATGAATATTGCTAGAACTGATACAGCGCCAACAGTCATCTGCAAAGGTAGACATCTAAGGGGTAAAAGGTGAAAAATTCAAATAGGAAAAAGGGATAAAGGGAATGGACTTCTATAATGATTAATTCAACATTTTTATTTGAAAAAGAAAAGGGAAAAAAAAACTCACCGGTAATCTATCCCACACTAGGCGATCGTCATTTGGCTTGAGATGATAGTATGAAGAACCAAATGCAACAGCAGTCATGCCAACATAGAACGACGTCCAACCCCATCTTTCACCTTGCGAGCTTTTGGCAAGTACGTATTATGATTCACAAGTTGCAACAATAATATGCAAAAGCATATAGTCTATAAAAGAAATTAGCAATGACAAGTAAAATACCTGATCTTAAAATAATTCCCACAATTGCAAAGTCTAAGCCCAATGAGTCCAATAAACAGGAATGGAAAATTTGATATCACATCAGGTGCATTGGGAATGCCTACCAAGCATAACAATTCCTTCAGTTTCAAATTTTACTGCAAACAAAGTGGAATAAAAAAGAATACTCTAGCAATTCGATTGCTGTAAGTCCTGTTATATAACTCCTGAATATTAGTGAAGCAACAGATCCACTTCATCTTATATTAACTAGAAGTGGGCCCCTCACGACAATTGCAAGGAAGATTCAAAATTAAGCCAACACACAACTTGAAGAGGAAGAATACCGTTTGCAAGTTATCAATAGTACAAATTCTTCGGTCAATGATTCTTTTGGTAAGTGATTGGGACGTTGAAAGAAGTAACATGTATGCCGTTTCCAAGTTTTTTCTTTTTTCTTTTTTTAAATACACTCGGTTCACATAAAGTAATTTACATAAACATTTTTAAAAACACGTCTACTTCAGCCAAATTCCCTTCTTTTTTTTTTTAATTAGCCCACTATAGTTCTGTGGTCAAGTGATAGGATATTCAAAGAAGTGACATGTCCGTTATTTTCAAGTTCTGAAAAACAAAGAAAAATCTTCCACTCAGCTCACATAATGGACATTAATATCCACAAAACATACACGGGCTTCACCAGTTCAAACAATGTCACGTATGTGAATCAATCCATCCAGCGAACACAAAGGCTAACATACAGTACTAGCCCAATAAACAATTGCCCCCTATGAGTATGATGAATGTTTAAAGTTTGGCTCGATCAGAGAAGCGCTAACCAAAGAATTGGCGTTTGTCGGCGAAATCATGGTAGTTTTGAGGCTGAGGAATTCTTGGGGTCACCATCATCAGTGCAAGAAATAAGCAAGTAACACCAGCTACCCATCCACAAACGACGCGATTTTCCATCCTTCACGAACAATCGATCTGAACTAGAGGGAAAGATCGGAAAAAGAAGTGAGAGGGACGAGAATGGCGGTGGTGGACGCCGGCTCATACCCATCCCAAAGCGGTGCGGCGGTGCCTTTGTCCGTTGTCGACCGAACGTAAGCGGGCCCATTTGAAAACAACTAACAGGAGAAGTTCGTAAATGCAGAAGTGAAACGGGGGTTGATGAACCCAGTGCTGATTGACAAATGTAACAGAGCGTCCCAAATCGCCTATTCCCGCAATGTTATCTTTCTTCGATCTGAACGCTGTCCCCCCCCCCCCCCCCCCAAAAAAAAAAAGCCGTCAACGAGAAACGGGCGCTGAACTGAATTTTTCCTATCAACTTTTTAACGTAAACAGTGTGTTTGCAAGCTTGGAAAAAAACCAAACCAACTTATTTAAAATAATTTTGTGCTCGGGGGAGGAGTTTTGTCTAGTAAGGCATAAAATATTCTTTAAAATTAATTCTGGAGTTTTTTTCCAAGAGGGTGTTTAGATGAAACCAAACCATAGTTTAGAGAATAGCTTCTGAAGAATAGATTTTGTGAAAAAGTGATAATGAGAAGTGAGAGTGTTTAGATAGTTGTTATCAAAAGCACTTTTTATATATACAAATTACTAAAAAAGGCATAAGTTAATACTCCTCCGGTCCTAATTATAAGACCCAATTGACTTATTTGAGGAGATTAAGAAAGTAAGTTAAGTTGGTTATTTATAATAAATAAGTGTTGTCATTCCTAAAATATTCTTGCTAATTAAGTATATTGGCTAAAACTATCATTATTAGAAGGGTTATCTTGGAAAAAAATGCATAAATATAAGAGACAAAATGGATTTGAGTCTTATAATTAGGACCAAATAAAAAGTCAAATGGGGTCTTATAATAAGGACCGGAGGAGTATGATAATTACATAAAAGAATAGGTTTTGGATTATTTTTTCAAAATTGATATTGTTTGGGTGACATCCCACCTACACTATGGTTTTGCCTCCCAAACCATGGTTTTGAGGGGCACCCAAACATGTCCTAAGTCATTTACTTGACTAAGCATTTAAATTTTTTTTAAAGACAATTACATATATATATACATTACCTCCAGTTCTAATTATAAGAGTTAGTTAACTAATATAAGGAGATTAAAAAAATAAGTTGAATTAGTTATTTGTAATAAATAGGTGTTGTCTTTTCTAAAATGTCTTTGCTAATCAAGTGTATTAGCTAGAACTACCATTATTAGAATGATTACCTTGGAAAAAAAATATAAATATGAGAGATAAAGTAGATTGAGGTCTTATATTTAGAATCAGAATAAAATCAAATAAAGTACTCCTCCGGTCCTTAATATAAGACCCATTTAACTAATTTGATTAGATTAAGGAAGTTAGGTATGTTAGTTAATTATAAGAAAAATGACACATTTTTCCTAAAATACCATAATCATCTTTCTTAATACCTCATCTCCCTCTTTTATTTGATTATGGTTGATGGAGTATCCATAGGGGTAATTTAGAGAAAATTGATAAATATGAGAAATGGGTCTTATATTTAGGACCAAAACTAACTCAAGAATTGGGTTCTATATTAAGGACCGGAGGAGTATTATATTAAGGACCAGAGGTAGTATTTCAATTTTTTTTTTTTGAGCAAAGGTAGTATTTCAAATTGTCACTAACTTTTTTTTAACTACAAAACGTTGACTCAGTTCGTTACGGGTTGTTTGAATGGGGTAGAAAAAATATTTTCGAAATGTGTTTTCACAAAAATTGAGATAAAATTCTCAGATACACACACAGATCTTTATAATTTCCCTTCTCATGGGATTATCATTCAAGGGAAAAATTATTATCAACCTTCACTTTCCTGGAATAACGAGACAGTGCGGTAAACTTTCATGAAATGAAGAGATTGAAGTTTCCTTCTTTTTAATTTCGCTTTTTCTTATCATCCTCTCGAATGTTACTTTCTTGTGTTTTCTTGCAATGAATTTTAATTGCCTTTCCATTTGTAGGCATCGACCTTCCTTATTTTGGTTTCCTTTTGTGCTTGGCCTTTTCGGGATTTGATAATTGCGCATCCTCGATAATGATTTAAGGTTTAAGCCCCGTTTGGTTTGTTTAAGAAAAAAGAAGAAGTAATCTCATGCCAAGGTTTGTCCCGTATGTTTCATGCTTTGTTATTTGATGTAAAGGGCACTAGAAATCTGGAATATGGCTCAATAAGCCCGTTTGAATCAGCTATACAAAGGTAATTTTATCTGGTATTGAATAAATACATGAGATGGGTTTTGTTTTGGTGAAACATAAAGGTACTTATTTTACGCTAGACCATTGACTTTAGAGTGGAAAAATGGTCTAGGCTTATCCTCTGTTGCACGAATGTGAAAGTTTTAGATCCGTTTAAAATAATTTATAAATAACTTTTTAATTATAATTTATTAAATACGAGGTAAGTATATGAGAAAAGTTTTATTTTACTTTAGATGAAATGTCTTTATTAGTATTTTTTGTTGCTATCCCAAATAAGCCTTTAGTGTTTTTCTTCTTTTACATGACAACGTTATTTTTTTTCTTTATACTGTTTTATATTTTTATCACTTTATCATATTTATTTGACCAAATAAATCATTAAAAAGCTATCTCCATTCATTATAAACCATAGTGAAAAAATTGTTTCCATCCCGTTCTATCAATCTACAAAAATAAAAGGCTAGAACTTTATTAATTTTTAGTAGAGGCCATGGTTAGGTTGCATTTTTCATTTGTTTTGATTGAATTTTGTTTACTTCAGAGAACCAGCTTTAGCTATTGTATTAGTTTTTGGAGAGTAAATTTTTCTTTTCTAACAATAAGACAGTATGAAAGTAGTTTTGTTCGAGATATTATAGGGCATTAAATATAGATATTTCTTTTAGCAGAATTTTAAATATTGATTCACCACTTTTGGCGGGATTAACTTTTTTTTGCTAAACTCTTAATGAATTTTTTTATCTTATCAAAGGGGTAAATACCCAAACCTCTTCTTAAATTCCATCGCACTAAATCTGAGATTTTTTTTCCTCTTTCTTTTTTGTGGCCAACTTTCTTTCTTCACTTTCATTTAGATTTAATTTATTTTTAATTATATTTTAAATTAAATTATGAACTAGTGCCCTAGAATTTCTTTTGTCAATGGAATTTATAATTTATCTCCTCTAAATAATATTATTTCATATAAGTTTTATACTATAATATATAAAATATATAGAATATAGAAGATTGTTTTTCGCCAAATATAGCCTAGAATTTAATCAGCCTGTTTGATAAGGCGTTTTGAGGAGAGAAAAGTAGCTTATAGGTATGATAAGTAAGTTTACAAATTTAGAAGTTATTTGCCGTAGTTTTGGCTAATTTGACTTAGGGATCAAAAGTTGCTTTTTTAAATACGATTGTAAAAGTATTTAAAACTTTCTTAGGATTTATACAAAGATAGCTTTTTGGAATTAAAGATATTTTTACCTTCATATTTAAGTTGTTCTTATACTTTTCTCTATATATTTTTTATGCTTCCTAATTAGTTTTTAGTTATTTATCAAAATAATTTTTAATAGTGTTTATAGTATTTTAATTTTTAATATTATTATTTATTTTTTACTTATATAAATTATGTAGAGTATATTATCTAATTAATTATGTAATATTATTTGGTTCAAAATTACTCATATTAGTATGATTTCAAATCTAAATATATTTTATTCATTAAATATAACTTTTTTATTATTTAATAAAAGTTATATCCATTTTGGTTATTCTGACAAATTAAACTCACTTACTCAATTATAATCTAAATAACTCTTTTACTTTACAAACTAACTTTTATAAAAGTCAATTTAAGCACAAATCATATTATCCATTCTAATTTTTATCCAATCTTATTTTTCTAAAAGTCAGATTAAAAATAAGTTACTTTTTTTAAAACGCATAATATCACTTTATCTCATTATTAATAGTGTAAAAAAATTTTAGTTTTATTTTATGATAATTTCAATTTCATTGATATTATTCCTTTTTCACTTTTAGTTAATATATACGGGGCTGTTTAGAATAACTTATAAGTACTACATCTAATTTGTAATATAAGAACTTGTTTGACTTTTATTTTAATTCTAAATATATGACCTAAATTTATTTTGTCTCTTATATTTATTTTTTTTCCAAAATAGTCCTTATAATAATAGTAGTTTTAATCAATATACTTTATTAGTAAGAATAATTTAGAAAAACAATATCTATTTATTATAAATAACTATCTTAACTAATTTTTTAACTCTACTCAAATTAATCAATTAATTTTGTATTAAAAACTGAAAGTAACAGTTTTTTTTTATTTAATAATTATCTCAACTTACATTTACATAAAATGTATATATGAGTGATTTTTAAACATATACCAAACGGGTTCAAAGGTGATCCAAATTGCTTAGCAGCACCTCTTCACTTTTATTTTTTATTATTTTTTTGGGTGACAAATACAGCGGCTCCCTTAAGTACAAAGCAAAACCCAAAGCAAAACCCTCTTTTTAATACTGTCCTCCGCCTTGAGCCTCCATAGTCAATAGCTCAGAGAAATTCATTCATGGCGCAGTCTCTGGAGCTATTGCTTATACAATTCTTGATGCCTGACAATGATGCTCGGCGTCAAGCTGAGGACCAAATCAAGCGGCTTGCTAAAGACCCTCAAGTGGTGCCGGCTTTGGTACAGCATCTGCGCACTGCCAAGACCCCCAACGTCCGCCAACTAGCCGCCGTGCTGCTTCGCAAGAAGATCACAGGTCATTGGGCCAAGCTCTCTCCCCAGCTCAAACAGCTGGTTAAGCAGTCCCTCATTGAGAGCATTACAATGGAGCACAGGTATTCATCGGCCAGATTACCACTTCCAGTTCCTTGTTTGATTGGAATTTTAATGATACTGTAATGTATGGGTACTCGGTTAATTGAATTGTGTTCGTTTCTACAAATTGCCGATGGAACGTATGCTCTTTGTATGAAATTTGACTTCAACTTTTTGAACACCCATTTTGTAAAAAGGAGAGCTTTCTGCTGAAAGTAACAAGTTTGGCTTAAACAAGCCAGTTTCAGTTAGTTTCAGACTATCTATTAAGTTGATGGAAGTTTGCAGTCTGGTCAGTCAACAGTAAACAGTCAATAAAATTATGATAATCAATATCTTTTTCTTGAGCAAGTCATGTGGTTTGAATTTTTATTGAAGTCAATGAAGACGGTGATGGAGCTGAGGCTCTTCCCCGGACAATGCCTGAGGAGAGGTTCCTGGAATTTTTATATGGGATAGGTTCAAAAGTTAATCCGTTATCCCATTGCCACGTGTGTGTATTTATTTGTGATAATAAAACTAGGATTAGTTCACAATTCTTTTTTATCTTGACCGTATCTTCTTAACATTGTTATAATGTAATGTGTTGAAATATGATGAGCTATCAATCATTTCTTGTGATTCATTACAATATCATATTTTAACTTTTCTTATTTTTATAAGTATAGTGCTCTTGGTGTTGTCTGCGTTTCATATGTTCTGGTACTTCTGGATGTGATCCCTGGTTACGACCAGGTAATCTTATTATGATCTCATATTTTAATATGCAGTCCTCCTGTAAGGAAAGCAAGTGCCAATGTAGTGAGTATTGTAGCGAAGTATGCTGTTCCAGCTGGTGAGTGGCCTGATTTATTGCCCTTTCTGTTCCAGTGTAGTCAGAGTGCACAGGAAGACCATAGAGAAGTAAGTTCATGACACTGGAAAGTCATATGGTTTTGCTTTTTCTCATGTGATCATGATATTTTCTCGCTGTTGGTTGTTACCACCCTCTATTTCTGCTTCAAGTCCTGATACAACGTTTTCCTCAGACAGTTTTTCCTATGCCATATAAACATCTTTAATGTCTGAATATGTAGTAGGATGGCGACTGCGGGCTAACATATTGTCATGCTAACCTCATTGAATGGATATATCTTTTTATTCACCTAGTCAAGATTGTTTGTGATCTGGTATTATAGACTCAAAATCATAACCATTAGAAACTTTTAATGAAATGCAAACGCCAGTAGGACCTTAGAAAAGGTATTTTACATGGTACAGGTATATGAGAAGTCTACAAGTCTCCCCCTTCAGCATGCTGAGTTTATGTGATGTAAAATTAAGGCTAAACCCATGTTACATTTCTTTGATATTCCTAACTATACTTGTTAGCTCATTATCCGTGCTTGCAATGATCATAAGTTCATATGGTAAGTCTGGTGAACTTAATTGAAAGAACTCTACTAAAGCATGTTTCTTATATGCACATGGTTCCTCACAAGCTAACAGATTCCCATTAGATTCTATCTCTATGCACATGAGTCCATTGCCATTGGATCACATACTCAAGTACCGATTATAAAGTCAAGAAAAAGGGTTACGGTCTCTATTTCATTTCCCCCTTTTTTTCTTTAAAAAGAAGTCCTCTAACTGTTAGTTAGTAGCCTAAAATGTTTGTTGAACTAATATCTAACAAAATGTTATGCTTTTGGAATATAAGGTGGCATTGATTCTCTTCAGTTCTTTAACTGAAACAATTGGGAACACGTTTCGGCCACACTTTGCAGATCTGCAAGCACTTTTACTCAAGTGCTTGCAAGATGAGACTAGCAACCGTGTTCGAGTTGCTGCACTCAAGTAAGTTAATATTCATGTTTGGTGATTCCATGGTTGCACAAAACAGTTACAGTAATTTTCCATTGTTGCTTACCAAGATCTGTGCTTGCTTTGTTAGGGCGGTGGGATCTTTTCTAGAATTTACCCATGATGGGGATGAAGTGGTGAGCATGTGCTGTTAAAATTAAGCATAAAAAAGATTTTTTTTTTAAAAAGTAATTGGTATTTATATTGCTATAATTGTTACCTGCTAACAGTTGATAAACTCTGTATTTTATCATCTGCAGCTTGATATTTTGTATTTCTCATTTTTGCTGACTTAAGTTTTGTGTTATGCAGGTTAAGTTTCGTGAGTTTATACCCAGCATCCTGAATGTATCACGGCAGTGCCTGGCCTCCGGAGAAGAAGATGTTGCTATAATTGCGTTTGAAATTTTTGATGAACTGATAGAATCTCCTGCACCTCTTCTTGGAGAATCAGTCAAATCCATAGTGCAGTTCTCCCTTGAGGTTTGCTCAAGTCAGAATTTGGAATCTAACACTCGTCATCAGGTGGGACAGGATTATAAATCATGTTGTTATGTCTTTTGCACTCTTGCCATTTAATCATTATCCTCACTCGTTTGTTCTATGTAACAGGCCATCCAGATTATTTCTTGGCTGGCAAAATACAAGTCTAATACTTTGAAAAAACATAAGCTTGTCATCCCTATTCTACAAGTTTTATGCCCTTTGCTTGCTGAATCAACAAATGAGAATCTAGATGATGACCTCGCGCCAGATCGAGCTGCTGCTGAAGTTATTGATACTATGGCTTTGAACCTCTCGAAGCATGTTTTTCCACCAGTTTTTGAATTTGCTTCTGTAAGTTGTCAAAATGCAAACCCAAAGTTTCGGGAAGCTTCTGTCACTGCTTTAGGTGTTATTTCAGAAGGTTGTTTGGAGCATATGAAAAATAAGCTCGAACCTGTTCTACATATTGTCCTGGGAGCTCTGAGGGATCCTGAACAGATGGTGAGAGGGGCAGCTTCATTTGCTTTGGGTCAGTTTGCTGAGCACCTGCAGCCTGAAATTGTATCCCATTATGAAAGTGTTCTTCCTTGCATCTTGGATGCCCTTGAGGATGCATCTGATGAAGTAAAGGTACTCATTGGAAACAATAATGATTCATTCTTAGATCATCTGCATGTTGTCTGAGTATCGTATTTCCATTTCAACCAGGAGAAATCATATTATGCTTTGGCTGCATTTTGTGAGAACATGGGTGAGGAAATCCTTCCTTTTCTAGATCCTTTGATGGGAAGACTGTTGGCAGCTCTCCAAAATAGTTCACGAAATTTGCAGGAGACATGCATGGTATGGCATCGTTTTGGTAAAGAATCAGCTGTTGGTTTATTGTTTTTTGTATTAGTCTGATTTTTCTGCTGGATTCCATTTGCAGTCTGCAATTGGTTCTATTGCATCTGCTGCTGAGCAAGCATTCATTCCTTATGCTGAAAGGGTTTTAGAGTTGATGAAAAACTTCATGGTTTTAACTAATGATGAAGATCTCCGAGCACGTGCAAGAGCTACTGAACTAGTTGGAATTGTTGCAATGTCTGTAGGGAAAATGAGAATGGAACCAATATTACCCCCTTATATAGAAGCTGCAATATCTGTAATTGCCTTCAATACTCAACCTTTTATTGTCCGCATTTTCCATGCCCTTAGATTTATTGATATGTTTCTATTCCATGCAGGGTTTTGGACTTGAGTTCAGTGAACTTAGGGAATACACCCACGGGTTTTTCAGTAATGTTGCAGAGATTTTGGATGACAGTTTTGCACAGGTATGCATATATTAACTCTTTTACATATTTCTTATCTCTGACCTTAATCTTATGACCAATATTTGCAATGGATACACAGTATCTTCCTCACGTTGTGCCTCTTGCATTCTCTTCATGCAATTTGGATGATGGCTCAGCAGTGGACATTGATGATTCTGATGATGAGAATGCCAATGGATTTGGAGGAGTTTCATCTGATGATGAAGCTCATGATGAGCCGAGAGTTCGAAATATAAGTATTAGAACTGGTGTTTTGGATGAAAAGGCAGCCGCAACTCAAGCCCTTGGCCTATTTGCACAGCATTCAAAGAGTGCTTATGCTCCGTATCCTTTATATATCTTATCTATCTTTTTATAGCTACATATTTCACCACACGATCAATGTTAAATCAGATGATCATGAATTCTTTAATTAACTTAAGTTACTTGGAGGAGACACTAAGAATCTTGGAGAAGCACTGTGGTTATTTTCATGAAGATGTTAGACTTCAGGCAGTCATTGCTTTAAAACGTAAGTGGATACGTTTTCTGAAGCTGTTTTGTTTCAAATAGCATGTAGGCATTCTACCCATATTCTATTTTCTCTCGGTGGTGTTTTTCATGCTGGGCACAATCCTGGTACTTACATTAAGTAATAATTTCTTGTTGATTTTATTCAAAATGCATTTCACCATGGGCAATACTTCCTTAATGATAAGGAATCTCATTCCCTCCACTCCCAAATGGAATGCGGAAGTAAAAATATATTCCAGTGGAAGCACACTGCCCTTTCTAGTTTGAACATGAAAAACTTGCATGTTGCTTTCATGCCAGTTTGTAGATAACTTGATGGTTTCTTTGTTACTTTGGTTCTAAAATTTTTCACTTTTTTATTATTTATGAAAAACATGAAATGTTGATGCAAATTTAATTTTAATGCAGATATTTTGACTGCTGCACATGCAATCTTCCAAAATCAAACTGTAAGTTGCTTAGTCTCTTTGTTTCGTGTCCCTTTCTTTTATCCCCTCCACATTTGTAATTTAAGGATTGTAACACTATTTGAGTCATCATTTTGATTTTACAATCAATATTTTTGTTTGTCAATGTGTGTAATTACTGAACAATGTACAAAAATATGATTATTCTCATCATGCTTCAATGTTTCTTCTGTTATAAGAAACTTGCTTTCAGTTTTGGAGTGATAAACACCTATGTTTGTTTTTCAGGAAGGAGCAGTAAAAGCAAAAGAAATTTTCGGTAAAAGCCTGAATTGGAGTATTTGTAATTTTTTGTCTTTTCATTTATCATGGTTTCTTTTATTGTTTTAATTATTTAACTATTTTAAATCTACAGATAAAGTGATGAAAATTTACATCAAGGCTATGGTTGAAGATGATGATAAAGAAGTGGTTGCTCAAGCTTGCACAAGCATAGCTGACATCATTAGAGATTATGGTTATTCAGCTCTCGAACCTTGTAAGCACTCATTTAACTGGCTATTTCCGATCCGACTTTTTTTTTTTTTCCTGGGAAAAAAGGAACTATCTTCTGAATCCATACGTTGATACTAAGTTTTTTGCTTTTGTATGTGTTTTTCACTTTTGCTTATTTTAGACTTGCCCCAGCTTGTTGAGGCAACTTCATTGTTGCTTCGGGAGGAATGTGCTTGTCAGCTTGTAGAATCAGACAGTGAAATTGATGATGATGATAGCGAGCATGATGAAGTGCTTATGGATGCAGTTTCTGATCTTTTGCCTGCATTTGCAAAGACCATGGGTTCTCAATTTGCTCCCATCTTTGCTCAGCTCTTTGACCCTTTAATGAAATTTGCTGTGAGTTAAAGATCTAGAAAATTTCAATATCTCTCTCTCTCTCTCTCCCCCCCTCACACACGCACTCTTAAAAATTAGGTATCAACTATAAACCTTGTACTCACTGTAAATTGCAGAAAGCTTCCCGTCCGCCTCAAGATAGAACCATGGTAGTTGCTTGCCTAGCTGAAGTGGCTCAAAACATGGGTTCTCCTATTGCAGGATATGTGGATGTAATTTTTTTTTCCTTTTTCTTTTATTATATCATCTTTAATGCTAGTGTTTGTATAGGGACATTTAATTGATTTGCAAAATTTTATATCCTTCCATGCAGCGAGTGATGCCCTTGGTACTTAAAGAACTAGCATCATCTGAGGCCACAAACAGAAGAAATGCCGCCTTCTGTGTAGGAGAGTTATGCAAAAATGGTGGTGATTTAACTGTGAAGTATCCTTGTTGCTGTCTATCGGGTTGAAGTAGGCTTTACTTTTTCCCGTTACCTATTGTGCTGGGCTCTAGGCTAGATTAGTTTTACCAAAGCACAATTTATACGATTAACTGTGTTTGACTAATATTAGTAAAGTGCTGTTGAGTGTTGACCGCTTTTGGTTCGAATCTTTTGATAAATCGTTCGTTCATCTTGGTCTAGCATTTCCTTTATCCAAGACTAGATACTATGACAATATACTGCGTGGCCTTCATCCCTTGTTTGGTGAATCTGAGCCTGATGATGCAGTGAGGGATAATGCAGCTGGTGCTGTGGCAAGGATGATAATGGTTCACCCTGAATCTATTCCATTAAATCAGGTAACTTCTAACTTGCTTCAGGCGCCTCCGACCGACCCCTTATATAAAAAAGCTAGCTTTTCTTGCCTTTTTCTCTTTTGCTTTGGGAATCGCATTCTGCTCAAAGCACTTGATGGCCAAATCTTTCAATCAGTTTTTATTAAAATGTCTATTGAAAACATTTGACAGGTTCTTCCTGTTTTCTTGAGAGTACTTCCTTTAAAGGAAGACCATGAAGAGTCTATGGCTGTTTATAGTTGTGTCTCTACTCTAGTATTATCATCCAATCCTCAGGTAATTGTTGCCTTAAGGATCTTTTCTAATGTTTTCCCTGCTTTATTGTTTTCTCAGAAGTTATGCAATGTGGTACACAGGAAAGTGTTTTCTATAAAGGAAATGGGAAATACACCTATCCCATTTTCTTTCTAGATGCATCTCTCATTTCTTTTCTAGAAAACGCTTTTCCATGTACAAACATTGCCCTAGCATTTTCCTACATCTTATCTAACTCTATTCTATCCTAAATGTAATTCAGATCCTCTCTCTAGTACCTGAGTTGGTTAACCTTTTTGCTCAAGTAGTGGCTTCACCAGTTGAGACTTCTGAAGTCAAAAATTTAATAGGCAGAGCATTTTCTCATCTGATTTCTCTATATGGGCATCAAATGCAACCCCTTCTAAGCAATCTCCCACCTGCACATGCGAATGCGTTATCAGATTTCTTCCCAAGGAGTTGACATGGCGAGACAAAAAGTTTTTTTTCCCCTTTCATTTATTCACTACGTGTTATGTTTTTAAGGGAATGGTTTGTTTTTATACATATACTTTATACTGAAGCTGTTCAGCCGTCAGATAATATCATTACTTCTACCAAGGTATGAATATGATTCTTCTGTTGGCAATTTTACTTTCTTATTGTCATGAAGTAACAGTATATGCAAGTGCCTATAAAACACAATAAGCAGATTTTATATCATAATGTGGTTTTTGCAAATTCACAATTAGACTATTGGGTGTTTCATAAATCAATGTTTTAAACTATTTTAGTATACTTTTCCTCAAAATTCAATACAGTAGGTAGTTTTCTACCTTTCTGGTGCCTTTTGAGGGTATTTTCCTTTTAATCAAATATAGCAATCAGCTGACTGATGATGGTTATTGTTGCTTGTCCTGCAGGTTATCGTCGTGCCTTCTACAACCTTCTCGATTTTTATGTAGAGAAGCCTTTTTTTTGCCCTTTTGGTTTAAATTTTCCTTGTTATATTGTCTATTTTTCTAGTTAATATTTATTAATGATTTTCATGATTAATATTTTGTTTTTCATGTTGCGTTCATTTTTACTGGTTTGTGGTGGGACAAGAGGGGTGTCATCGAGGTTTTTGTATCATTGATCTAAACGTTAGTAGTAATATAATGCCCAGTTTGGTGTCTAGTATTTTTCACTTTTTTCTTTTTTTTATTTTCTCCAGTTTTTTGGATGTAATTCAGAACATCATCTCAACATATGTTTTTTGGAATTTGAGTTTGTGTCCTTATCCTTAGAGGATGAGACTACTTATTATCCTAATCAACTGTTCATTGGTTTTTTTTTTTCTTCCACTAGATGTACTCATTAATGGATTCAAAGGGATCTTTGCTGTGAAGCTATTCTTGCTAGCATTTAGTATTTCAAATTATTTTTTTTCATAATTGATGTGATGTTATCTTTAAATTTAAAAGAATACTAGAATGCTGTGTCTCTAGTTTAACCATATAGTGTGGGGCTATACCCATTTGAGCTGACCCAAATATCCCTTTCAGTTTTATATATAATCAACGCCTAGTCAAATTGTGGAGGTTAAAATGTTAGCTTACTTTAAAATATTAAATGTGCAAGAGATATAATTTTATTAAAAAAAATATATCATTATTTATGAAGGTGTTGAGTGAGAGAAAAATGAGTGGCAAAATATATATGAGAGAATGAGTAGGAAAAAAGAGATAAGCAGTGTAAAAAAAACCGGACTGGACCGGCCGGTTCAACCGGTAAACCGGTCAGTGGTCCGGTCCGGTTCATAAGCTAAACCGGGGACCGGTTCAAACCGGATTGAACCGGTCAAACCGGTGTGAACCGGTGAAAACCGGTAAAAACCGGTATGAACCGGTATTGAACCAGTTTAAATAAATATATTGATATTTATTCTATTTTTTCTCATTTAACTCCTAATATCTCAATTATTATAGATTTAAATGAATTTTGATGATGAGTTTGGCATCAATAACTATTAATTTTAGTTATTGAAAAAATTATAAAGATCAAAATTCTCAATATTGTTGTACTTTATTATTATTACAATCAAATTCTTATTGTATTTCTTTATATTTTGTTATTAGTAATTATTATTATTGTTATATTTTGTCATTTTTAATTAAATTAAATTATTTTAATATGACCGGTTTGATCCCGAGTTGACCCCGATCTGACCCATTAACCCTTGAACCACTACCTCAACCGGTTTAGTGTCCGGTCCGGTTTTTTGTTCCTTGGAGATAAGAGAAGCATAGAACTAATTGGGAGTACAAATGAAAAAAAAGTGTATTAAATTTTGTGAAGTAGCATTTATCATTTAGAAGTGAATTGCAATACTCTCGTCTTTGGTGTGAGATGTCCAATTTGCATGATTATTTTTTAGTTAAAAATATTATTTCCTGTTCTAATTATAAGACTTTCTACAAATCTTGTAATTAGGATTTGAGGTAGTAATTTTTTTTGGAGGTACACCTAGCATCGTAAATTATTTTTGGAGGTGCAGTGAACACTTTAAGATATTTAGTGGTACAATTTTATCCCTAATATATTAAAAATGGTGCAATTCACACCTAAACTAACGGAATCATTATCTATCTCATTGTGATTGTTATTGTTTATTATTTTCATCATGCTAGAGTCGTGACTTTGAGCCACCATTATTCTCTTTCACTGAAACAGAAATATGACAAGCGACATGAGAAGAAAGAGGGTTCATTATCTTCCTCCTTGAGAGAGAAAGGACGAGTTGAACCAATGAACTCCATATAGACGTTTGAACCAGAGGAGGGGGAGTTCTACTGGACACTATTTATCATCTTCTCCGTGGGAGGACCAAAGGTGCCATTGGGAATTGAAGCAAAGGAGGAGTTTGGATGCTAATGAAGGGGAAGGAAGTAAAGAGATAAAGGAAGTGAAGAGGATCAGAGTTAGAAAAGAGCTTCAAAAAGTTTTATTTTTCTTGATTTGCTTATCTAAAAACTATTAGACTGAACATAAATTAAGTAATTAAACTAGAATCAACCTTAACTTGTTCATAGATATGATGACTTACGTGGCCAATGACCAAGGAACAAGCAGAGGAGGGCCACGGCTCTGTTGATGTTTGAATTGGGTTGGAAAGCTTATAGGAAGGGTTATGTATGGACGTTCTATAGAGTTTCTTAAAGGCGGACTTACGATTATTCCTAGACCTCCATTGTTAGGGGGTGATGTTAGTTGATTGTTGCTTATAATGCTCTTTACTTTATGAGCAAAACAAAGTGAGTTGTGCTTTTTGATTTTTTTGTGGGAAATTTCATTATGTAGAGGCTTACCATGGTTTATAAGGCCAGTAAATGACATGTAGATTGCATAGCTTTGTACCAGCAATTAGAGAAGAAACTCATTCGTTAGTGATTAGGATGGTCTTCTTTAGGCTGAAGTCGCGTGTCAAACGATAAACAGTAGCACTTGGCATGAGAGATAACGGAGGTTAATATTCTGTTAACTTGGGTCAAAATTACTCCATTTTTATTATTTTAGAGACTTTTTTAGGGTGTTAAATGTACTTTCAAAAATAGTTTAGAATATTAGGTGCACCTTAATTTTTTTTTTAAAGGAAAAAACGTACTTATCCAAGTCTGAAAATCAACTTTTTGGTTAAGCCTAATCCTAAAATTCAAACCGGGTCAAAAAAAAATCCTAAAATTCATCGGGCTTCTTCAGGCTTGGCTTGCATTGCCTCAATCCCCTGATCTATGAAGCATACAACCGATGACAAACTGCAGACTGTAGTACCCAGTAACCAAAAAATGAAGGGGAAGAAAAGAACAGTTTTTTCCCGATCCCTTTAATTTAATCTCGTCTTCACCTCGTTTAAAACGTGCAGGCGGACAATCCAGCTGATCATCGTATATAGAGCAGAAGATCCTGCTTCCCAAATCGACGACGAAGTGAAAACTGAGAAATTGTCACTTTCTCGGGAATGTAATTTTTTTCTTGTTCTTTAACTGTGTCATGGATCCAGAACAGACGTTTATCCGTGTGCAGGAGAGGTTTTCGCAGATGTTGACCCCGAAAGTTAGAGCCGCTATGGAGTATTTAAGCCTGTTCGGAGCCATCACCTTATTCTGTATTCTCGTAGTTATGCACGCCAATTACGTTCAGCAGGTACCCAATTGTGCCTTCTCAGTTCTCACTCTCAATTTGAGTTTTATGTTGCTCTTTTAGGGCTGTTGAATTTCGAATCTTTGGCCATGATTCCGTGTGCTTTGATAGTGCGCTAGTTACTTGATAGGTTTCATCAACTTGAAAGCTCTTTCCTTCATTTTCTTTTGTCTACGAATGCTTAGGACGAGTGCCGGAAAGAAGAGAAACAATAAATGAGTTTGTTCTAATTTTGAACACCATATATTGCTCTCAATGCTATAGCTTCCAAAGACTGGATGAATGTCTGCCTGTGGAGGAGCTTGGTTTGTGGGTGTGTGGTGAATAAGAACATGAAAAATTTAGTTGTGTTTCTGGTTTATATGTAGTCCAACAGTGTTGGATCAGAGATTTCTTTCACTACACATCTTTGAAGGAGAGTTATTCTTAAATCCTATTGTTGGTTTCCATTATGTTTTCTTTAGGGAGGGTCCCTTGTGGATTACCCTTGGGACTTGAAGGCCTTTTTGAACTGGAATATGAGACGTTTTCTTTTGGTTGAGGACGATCTATTGTGCTTAGTCTTTGTACCTTTTTGTATTATGTACTCTACTTATCAACAAATCCTTTTTCTATCTACAAGGATGACAAATATAATGATTTCATGACAATAATGAGATTCTTTAAATTAAAGTGCATTTTATGGATTGAGGAAAAGTGTTTAAATCTTTACCGAGGGGAAGCACTCTCTGATGTGAATTTTTTGAGTCATGGGTAAAGTTAACTTTCTTGGAGTCTCTATTGGTGAAGTAATATCGGCTATGGTCTACAAAGAACTTTGCTGAACTTGATGTCTGAGAAGAAGTTGCTTACAATTCTCTCTTGCTTATAATTCTCTCTATTATTTGGAAGAGAATCATATCATTATAATAATTTTGGAAAAGTCCATGTTTGATGCTCTTCCAATTATAAAAGCCGCCTTGTTCACAGTGCATTCAAACTTTTTATTGCCAGTAGTTCTAATGGATTTAAATAAAACATGATATTAAAACTATTCAATTTGATAGTGGAAGATTCACACTGGACAATTGTCATGAAGTTTTGATTTCATGCATATTGGTGAATGTGTTAGGAGGAAGATTCAAGAAAGAGGAAGCGAAAATGACTTCCTTGTTATTAGTACGTTTGCTCATGGTAATTGTGGCTTCTTGGGAGAATTGACTACTGCATCAAATATGCACTTGTTACTAATAGTAATTGGTTAGTATACATAACTTTGGACTATGAAACAAAGGAATATCTGATACCTAAACTGAGGTATGGATGGCAATTCTCAGATGTTGCATAGAAGAATAGGATACAATGAGATATAATGTAATAGAAACAAAGACATTAGGAATGAGTTATCTTCTATTAATGGTCAAAGTAAACCCTTCCATCCTGAACCAAAGAATTGATCAAATCTCTGCTAATACAATTCAAACCTATGACTATTCGATTATAAACGAACCTCCACTGCTGAACTATTGAGGAACAACAGGAAATTAGATCTGATAGAGGTCAATTCCCATTATTGACCTGTGACCAATATGGGCTTGAAGTTTCGGTCATAACTCACAAATTCTTTGCAGTGGCTCTGTTCCATGCCTCTTTGATAGTTATTTCCAAGTATTCAGTCGGTTAACTATATCTAACTACCTGAGATATAGATAGCAACATAGCAGCTGGAAGAAGTATGTTATAATCTGATTGACTTCATTTTCCTTCATGCTTCTTGCTCCATGTCTCTTGTATTCTCTTTCTCTTACCAATCAATAAGTAAATAACTAAGCAATTACTTGCTTCCAATGCCGTCTAGAGCTATGCTTTTCCTTTCATTTGATCTTCTAACAATCCTTGTTTGACTCAATCTTTTCCTTTCATATTAGTACTTAATTCCTCAATTTCGTATGCTACTATCCTTTCTAATTTAATTGTGTTTTCTTATTTGACTTTAATTTTGGTTTTTTATAAGGCTAATAAGTTCTT